ATCCTACTGGTACCTACCACAAAAAGGTCAACAATTTCAAAGAAAATAGTTTTCCAAATGAAACAAACACAGATCATCCAATTTTGTTCAAACTCTGTGCATCCCAATAACCATATCAGTGCTAGGGCGATATCAGTCTTCTCTCTCAAGTACCTCCCCAACTAAGGGCCAACATTTTGAATAATTTTATCTCTCATAAAATGCATAATAACAGGCAAAAGTCGACATTCTGATACATTATGTTTATACCCTACAACACTATGTGTTGGGGGTATTATAAGTTTGATTGGGCCAGCATTTATGTAACACCTCGAAATATTGGTTTCCCATATAGGCTATGATCTGGCTATGTATGTCCGTCCGTCCGTCCGTCTGTCCGTCTGTCCATGTTAATTTGTAATCACGCTACAGGTCGCAATTATGGCCCGATTCTTACGAAATTTTGCACGAAGGTGGGGTTAGGGTCAGAATAGAAGCCTATTTCTTTTGGAGATGATAGCCAAATGTTAAGGGGTTGAAATGGACCAAATACTGAAAAAATGTCGGATGCAGTAGCTATACAGGTCGCAATGGCAGACCAATCGCATGTAGTTAGAGTTTAGGGCGGGGAAGAAGCCTACCAATTTGGATGGTCATCGGATAATATTTAGCGGGTAAAATAGACCATATCTTTTGTGTTGAAAAAATTCAAAATTTTTCATTAAACCGGGAATATTTTAAATCCCGGTGAAATCACAAAGCCATGACAAGGTTACTTCTGACCTTTACATTGATGTTAACATCCAACAAATCCGATATATAGCAAAATATATGCGATATATATGTCTATCAAAGAAGATATGCTTGAAAGATCTCTTATATGTCGAGAACGGCTGAACTGATTTCGACAGTTCCGATCCTCACGAACATTTGAATGGGGGTTACCGGACATTGCAAAAGCCAAGCAGTTTTGGATAGCCATCCAAAAATATTCAATTTGTGAAATAATTTGCCAACTTTTGTAGACAAAATACGAAAATGTTAATCTTTTGCCACTTCTGAGAGATTATAAGTCTTTGGGAAATATTGATTCCAGATCTAGGAAGACCATTTACGTGCAACATCTACCAATAAATTGGAAATGAGCAGATTAGTTTAAGTTGCTATTATTCGAAAATTAGAGAACGAAACCTGATGGTTTTCTTTTATTATTTGTCATAATATCTTGTGGAATTCTTTCGAGTATCTCATCTATATAAACTGTATGGTTTATTATAGTGTTGTAGGGTATTCAACGGTCGGCCCCGATCGACTGTAGCCTTTGCTTACTTGTTTTAACTAAAATTGAAAATTATCATAAATAAACATTTGGTCTGTTCCAGAACTGAAGAATGTAAAAGTTTTTACTCTCTTAACCGATTTTCCCTGTATAATATTAAAGAAAATTGCAAAACTAGTAGATACTTGCAGGTACTGGAACAGAACAATTATTTAATAAACTACAAAATTCGGTGGAAATTTCCTCTGATTCAAATTATAACTGCTTTAAATTATAAAAGTTTTTTTTTTGTAAGTTGAAATATTATTTAAAATATAACATGGATTAATAATGGGAAATAATTTCGTTCAAATGGTTGCCTCGGCTGGCCATGCAGTAGCCTACACGATCGGCCCAATTTTTAAGCACATTATTGATCGACTGTGTGCAGCCACGTTTCACGGCTTCACGAAATTTGTCCTTTAAGGCGTCAATTGTCTCTGGCTTGTCAGTGCAACACTTATCTTTGCCGATACCTTACATATAATACAGGGTGAGATAAAAAACTGCAACAAAGTCAAACGCCATAATTTTTACATTTTTTTCTTAATTTTATTGAATTAAAGCAAAAAATGTCGGAAATAACATCAAATTTTAGAATAACTTTAGACTAATTCGAATTGGTCACCTTTGGCACGAATTATGGCCTTCAAACGGCCAATGAAACCGTTACACGCTGCCCGAATGTTGCTTTGCGCTATATTCCCGGCGAAGCGCTTGCTTGAGGTGATCGACACTTTGGTATTTTTAGTGGCAACCTTGCTTTCCAAGATACTCCAGACAAAATAGTCCAACGGATTGGTATACGGAGATTTTTGTGGCCATTGTGCGCTGGAAATAAAGCGAATAACCTCATTTTGTAACTGTTCTTGGGTGGCGCGTGCTGAGTGCGATGTTGCTTATATTGGCCAAAATGTTTGCGTGCCCAAGGCTTTAAGCGAGCGGAGAGCGACCATCGGCTGTTATGGCGGCGCACACCATCACAATGGCCGCCACTTGAGTTCTGGTGGCGAACCTAAGGTGCACATTTTCAGCTGACCTCTTTGGCAAGTAAACACGATCATTTTGTTTGTTTACAAACCGTTGGACTATTGGGCCTCGAGTATTTTGGAAAGCAAGATTGACACTAAAAAATACCAATGCCATAATTCGTGTCAACGGTGATCAATTCGAAGAAATCTTAACTTAATCTAAAATGTGATGCTATTTCCGCCATTTATTGCTTTCATTCAATAAAATTAAAAACAAGTTAAAAAGCACTAAGTTCGGCCGGGCCGAACTTTTAATACCCTCCACCATTTGCAACGAATTTGGAAATTTTTAAAAAATAAAATCCTTAAAAAATTCTGTTAAAATTTTAAAAATACCGAATATAGCCGTCATATTGGGGTCTATACGACGTGGACATACATAGGCATTGCTTGTCATAAGCCATTACCATATTCAAATTGGAAACTTGAAATAAACGGTAAATAATGTAGCTAAAATCATCAAAATATCGTATATAAGGAGGTGTCGTTAAATTGGAGCTGTGCAAAGACCTGGACCAGCATAGACAGGTTTCTGTCACAGGCTGTAGCATCCATTACGAACTTCAAATACCACATTTCAAACAATTTCGGTGGGTATTGTACCTAAAATCGTCAAAATACCGAATGTGGGGAGGTACTGATATATGGGGCCTATACGAAGACCTGGACCCGCACAGACAATTTTCTGTCACAGACTGTAGTATTCATTACGAACTTCAAATACCAATTTTTAAACAATTCCGGTGAATAATGTCGCTAAAATCATCAAAATACCGAATATAGGGAGGTACCGTTATAGGGGGGCTATACGAAGACGTAGACCTGCACAGGCAATTTTCTGTCTTAGGGTGTAGTATCCATTTTGAGCTTCAAGTACCAAATTTGAAACAATTCCCGTGAATAATGTCGTTAAAATCACCAAAATACCGAATATCAGGAGGTACCGTTATATAGGGGCTATACGAATAAATGGACTTGCACAGACAATTTTCTATCTTAGACTGTAGTATTCATTACGAACTTCAAATACCAATTTTCAAACAATTCCGGTGAATAATGTCGCTAAAATCATGAAAATACCGAATATAGGGAGGTACTGATATATGGGGCCTATACGAAGACCTGGACCCGCACAGAAAATTTTCTGTCACAAACTGTAGTTCCTATAACGAACTTCAAATACCAAATTTGAAACAATTCCCGTGAATAATGTCGTTATAATCATCAAAATACTGAATATCGGGAGGTACCGTTGTATGGGGGCTATGCGAAGACATGGACTTGCACATACAATTTTCTATCTTAGACTGTAGTATTCATTACGAACTTCAAATACCAATTTTGAAACAATTCCGGTGAATAATGTCGCTAAAATCATCAAAATACCGAATATAGGGAGGTACTGATATACGGGGCCTATACGAAGACCTGGACCCGCACAGACAATTTTCTGGCACAGACTGTAGTTCCTATAACGAACTTCAAATACCAAATTTAAAACAATTCGCGTGAATAATGTCGTTAAAATCATCAAAATACCGAATATAGGGAGGTACCGTTATATGGGGGCTATATGAAAACGTGGACCTACATGGCCCATTTACGAACTTAACCTGCCTACTGGAAAAATAAACATGTGTGCAAAATTTTAGCCATCTATCTCAATTAATTCGAAAGATAGCGTGATTACAACAGACAGACGGACAGACAGACAGACAGACGGACAGACAGACAGACGGACAGACGGACATCGCTAAATCGACTTAGAATTTTACGCTGATCAAGAATATATATACTTTGTTGGGTCTGACATGAGTATTTCGAGGAGTTACAAACGGAATGACAAAGTTAATATACCCTCCATAGTATGGTGGAGGGTATAAAAATGTAAAAATTATGGCTTTTGACTTTGTTGCAGTTTTTTTATCTCGCCCTGTAGATAGATGTTGAGCTAAATTACGAATTGTCATCAACTATTTGCGTCATAATAGAAGGAAAGGGAAATACAAATAATGTGTTTTATTAAAACCGGTTTGATGTAAAATAATTCCGCATAGAATGTAAACATAGGCTACAACAAGACAGTTACAGGCAGGCTACCTACAAGACAGTTTCGTATATTCTGGCTATAACATTTTATTTCTATTGCAAATTATTTTCGAATTTGCGTTTGTTTCTCTTTCTGATCATGGTACAGTTCTAGTACAATTCATATTTCATATTTCCATGAATTTGAAATATGAATTGTACAATTCATATTTCACATTTCCATGGTCTATGATTAGGTTACACAGTAAATCAATCGGATCGTCCGATGAGACCAGCTATTTCATCTGTATTTTCAAAATTAACAATTGCAATTGTTTATTAATAGTATGAATACATAAACAAAAATTATGACACATTCACACTGGCAGCATTTCGTTGTGCATACACGACCCGCTTAATGGGCTCACCTTGCGTGAGCACATCTGGCTACCAATTCTACGGTCAAAATTCGTTACTGTGATCATGTTTCAAAATAAAAAAAATATCATTCATTAAAATGAATGTTTAGTGTTTTTTAACAACGTTCGCGAGTGACTGTCTACCAGAAATATGTTAATCCTGCGCCAAGATTTTTGTCATTTAATTTGGACTTGTTCATAGACCTTGCGTGTGTCTCGCTAATATATTAATCCAATTTTGATTTTATTTCTAATATCACTTTAAATTAAATATGTTTGTAATTTTTATTTGATATTCTTAAAATATGTTTTGTAATGTGTACATATGTGTTTTGAATATTTTTTTTTTGGGGTGTAAGAAGCCTTTTTGATTTGCTGTTAAATAGCAAATCATTCTCTAAAGGTAATATGGGGGATGACTTAGAGACTAAAGTGAATGGGGTTTCTTTATTGCACTGGAAGGTATAGCCGGGATGGATCCGATATCAAGGGCTGACTGTAAAAGTAAAAGATGTGTGAGTGTAAGTTAGTCCCCTTGTGTAACATGTTGACAACTAAGGACTTACCTTGGTGGCTGGTAGTCGTAACCTTCTCCATAGCTGTAGTCATCTCCACTTTGGCCACTACCTCTCGATGGCTCAGGTTGCAATTCATTATTTAGGAATTGGAATCGGTTTCTCTTGTTGTCCAAGCCAAATTTGTTGTTAAGACTTCCTGCGTTCTTATCAAGAGGCTGAGGTCTGTGAAATGGCAAGAGCATATAGAAGTGTTAGGCAGATTTTCAATGTATTTGTATGCGTGTGGGGCGACTTACTCTGGAATATCCAAGTCAAGTTCTGTGATGGGGTGATAGCCGAATTCATCAGCTGTGTATCTTGTTTTGTAGCGTTTACCGTCCGCACCGGTAAAGGAGTACGAACCACTTACAACGAATGTCTTGTCATCCTTCAATTTGCCAACACTGGCTACCTCGATACCGTTTTGTGTTTTCAATCTAAAACAATAAAGCAACGTATTGGCATCGCGTTCTCATTATCTGTTTTATCTACGTACTCTAATTTGAATTTCTTGTTTCCGCTGAGATTTTGCAATTTATCTACTTTAGCTTTCATTACGTCGCCACTGTACACGACTGCTGGTTTATCGTCGTCAATATCTTCCGGAAGGGTGTACACATCACTGGGGTTGTATTTGAACAAGTCGACATTATTATCTGTCAGATGTTTGACATCAGCTGCAACATACGCAACAACGCATAATAATATGATCTGTAAATAGGAAAAGTGGTTCGATTAATATATATGTGGGTTCACATTATATATGTACGGCACTGTAAGTGTACAGGTATTTATTTATTTATTTTTATTTATTCAATTTCCATTCCATAATACCAAAGCCTTCAAGGTCAATAAATAGTATTAACAATATAAAATATTCCTGAGTAAACTTAAAACTAATAACAATATCAATAACAAAATCTCATATATAATTGGCTCCCCAGCCATAACTACAAAAAATACTAAAAAAAAGGACAATATGCATCTATATACCATAAGCAACAATACAAAAAATATATGCCACCGCCATCAAAGAATTTAATAATAAAAGCTCACAAAAAAGGCACAATAGAAAAATTTTCAAAAGATAATTAAACAAAAAAAGTACAGTAATATTACAACCACGTCTCCCTTCAACGAAGTAATCTCAAATGATTCAAACGAAACGCATTGTTGGACTGTGAAAAAATTCTAAGTTCAACAGGCAAATAATTCCATATTTTAGCAACACGTATCACAAAGGACTTCTCAAAAGTAGTGTTAAATATCCTAGGTATAAAAATCTGAGTTGTCCTAGAAGACATATTAAAGCTAAACATATTATTTAGCAAAACAGGTACACCATTTTTCACAATCTTATAAAATGCACTTAAAATCCTACTACAAATATATCGTTCAAAATCAACGCCCAAAAAACTCACAACATAACCCGAAATGTGCTCACGCCTTTTCACACCAAAGACGAATCGTACAATAGAGTTAACAATACGTCGCAACCTACAGGAAACTCGATAAATCGCACCAGAAAATATCTCTAAACCACAATTTACATGAGGGAGGCATAAGAAGTGCAGTAGCCAATCGTCTTCTAACCCACTGAGGAACATACATATTAGTTAAGTAGAGCTTGCGAATAATTCCAAAGACTTTACGTTGAACAGTGTCAACATGAGATTCAATTGAAAGCTTGTCATCAACCAAAATACCTAACATTCTATGCTTGCTAACAAACACTACTGGATTCCGATCCAAAGTAATGTTAAGATCATACACACGACTTCCAAACATCATTGCTCTTATTTTAAGAGTGTTTATTGTGAAGAGTGAATTGTCTGAAGACCACTGATTAAACCTAGCAAGGCAACTATTTATTCTGCTCTCAAAGGCAGCTGGGGAAGGCGTATCATCCTTCAAAATAAGATACACATCATCCGCAAATAAAACCGGCGTACAACTTAACCCACTAAAACACTCAGCAAGACTATTCACATAGAGGACAAACAGCAACGGACCCAGTACCGAACCCTGTGGCACACCACAAGTAAGAGAAAGTATTTCAGAAGATATCCCGTTATAAGAGACAAATTGCGATCTATCACTCAAATAAGACATAATAAGCTTACAAGCAGTATCAGAAAAATTAAAATCATTCTTAAGCTTTCTAATCAACATAGGATGAGATACCGAATTAAATGCCTTAGTAAGATCTAAAGACACCACTACTGTATTCCTGTTCATATTTGAATTACCCCTAATCTCATCAGTCATATAGAGTAACAATCCTGTTGCACTGTGATTTTTACGGAAAGCAAACTGCCCGTTATAAATATATCTCCTTACGTGTGATAATATTTGAACCTTCATAATGTGTTCACAAACTTTAGAAAGCACTGGAAGAATAGATATTGGTCTAAGCTCGTCAGGGCTGCTTACTACACTACTTTAAGTATTGGGACCACACGAGCTGTCTTCCACAAAAGGGGGTACGCAGATGTCATGAAAATATAATTAAACGCGTCCAAAACGTAATCAGAAATGTATGGAAAAATGAGCTTCAAGAAATCGGGCGGTATACCATCTACTCCAATAGATTTAGATTTGATTTTATATAGCGCTATAAAAATGTCATCAACATGAACACAACTAAAGGAGAACCCAGCCTATGATCCAGTAAACTCCGGCATATTATCATTGACCTGCAAGTTATAACCAATAAACGATGCATTTGCAACATTAACATCAATATCAAAATCAAAATCTTCCCTCATGCAACCTGAACTCCTCAAAAAGCGCCAGAGGGCCGATGATCCCAATACGTTAAATTTCCGATAGTAAAATCGTCTGCGTTCGCGTCGGATAACAGATTTCGCCTTATTACGGCACTTACAAAAAATTTTCCAATTCTCCCGACTCTTGTCACTTAGATAGACTCTAAAAGCTAGATCACGGATAGAACAAGCCAAAGTAATGCAGTTAGATTTAATCCAATTATCACCACCACTAATCCTTTTGCGAACATTATCTTTATATCTTAGATAATCGCTACAACTAAATTTTATAATTGCCTGATCGTTATGCATTTGGCTATTGGAGACAGCTGTTAAAGTTATTCTAATGGTTCATGTATATCCGTTAATCCCCTAAAAATTGTATGTAAATCCAGTACGATGTTGTTAGGTAGCAGTCAGACGATAACGGTAATCTGCGTATTTATTTTGTATCTAAATATTTAAAAAGATGTCGTAAATTACATAGCGATATTTGTATGTAAACATAAGTTTACACTAGAGCAACAGAAACCGAACAAATAATACAATTTGGAACTAAAGAACGAGGTTGAAGAAAATAAACGCGATAAAGTGATCCGCTCAGTGAACGCGATTGCCCCACGCTAGTAGCTTTGTTCAGCATGATTGCATAAAAATGATCCTCTATCAGGGATTTCATGGAATAAATGAAAATGAAATGGGGTTTCAAAAACTTTTTTGTTTTAAAAATGTTAAAATCTCATTGCCAAAATGTGTATTCATAAATCCATTGCAAATTCACAAATCAGAGATGTGAAATTGTTTTCTATGCAGTTAAATTGGACAAGGTAAATTAAAGAAAAATTGCAAGATATCCTTATTTGAAACTTATGATTTTTCGCACAAATCCAGCAATAATCTCTACAAATTGCTACAAATTATAGCTAAAGCAAGCACATCTACTCATGGTGCTCCTTTACAAGCCAGCCGACTACCCAATTCGATGTCAAAATGTATTAATGTAATTGAAATCACTGAAAAAAAGTAAACGAATAGCCAACAAAATGTAAACGATTTTTATACCCTACACCACATAGTGGTAAGGGTATTATGTATTTGTGCATTTGTTTGTAACATGGAGAAGGAAGCGAGATAGACCCATAGTTACTTTTGAGGATCTCCATAGAATCACTTTGTGAGTTGATTTATGAATGTCAGTCCGAATGTCCGTCGGCCTATTCATGTATTCTTGTGAACAAAACGCAGGTCGAATTTATTATCCAATTGAGATGAAATTGTGCACAAATCATTTGATTGGCCCAAGAACGAACCCTATTGAAATTGGAGATAATCGCTAAAAATTTAGATATAGCTTCCATATATATCTTCGTCCGATTTGCTTTTTATTGTGCACCAAACGTCTGATATTTGCCCAAATGGGATGGAATTTGGCACATGCGACCAATTGAGTCTAGAAGGTAGTATGCCAAATTTGGTGAAGATCGGTTCAGATATAGCTATAGCTCCCATACATATTGTTCATCCGATTTGTTATATTTGTTACCCACAGCCGTAATACGCACTCCGTAACAACGATATTCAGGGAAATATATCAAATACAGTTCACAAATATCTTTGCCAAATATTATTGAGATCGGTTCAGATTTGGATATAGTTCCGATTTCAAATTAATTTTGCACCAAATAGGCAATACAAGTCCGAATTTAAAAGATACAAATGCTTCGGCATATTTAGTCCTTTGAACTTTAAATTATTATTATAATCATAGCGTGTATGATTGAATTCTCCTATAAAAACTTTTAATTGTTATGTGGAGCTCTATTAAAATAGCAAAGTGGTATAGGGTATCATAAAGTCGGCGCCGCCAGACTTTAGGACTTTCTCTGCTGGTTGACACAATAAATCTGATTTTTAAAATTTCCTGGAACACCCAGTTTTTGCGCCATTCACTTATAGTTAAATCCACTAGGCTACCTACCTACCTACCCAATACCTACCTACTCAATACGCCTTCGACGTTTTCATCACTTATGTTAATAACATGTATTTGCATGAATGTTAACGAAATACGAGTACGTCAAACGTAAACACTTGTAAGATTTAACAATTTCAAAATAGGCAAAACTAATTTTCTTTTTCTTTTGAAAGTTGAAAATAAAAACCAATAGCAGATATATATGAAAGTGTGGAATTGGAATTTGGAAGGAGAATTTTTAAAAATGTTCCTTGATTTTATTTGATTACCCTTACGGAACATTTTACCAGGTTAGAAGGTTTGAATTTTTGCACAATAAGTCGGGTATTGGGTAAACCTGTTGGAGAATATTGCATGCTCTTCTCTAATTTACTGACGAATTATGATGAGGAAATTTTGATGTTATCGTTATGTTTTTTTCTACCACTAAGGTGTGTTTTACACTTTAGTAATTTGTACTAATTGTTGCTGGATGTTGCCTGATAATATTGAGATAAAGTTGCTGAGATTTTGCAAAATTTACACTGGAAAAATTTAACTTAATAAAGTTGTTCGACAATTTTTAGCAACATTTGTTGAGAATTTTAAGGTATTGAAGTTATACAACGTTACAGCAAGTACCGATAATTAGTTGGCATTTATATAAGTATCAATTTTATTACGAACAGCTATTAATTAACAAGGAAATTTAACAAAATTAAATTTTACTTTTAAGCCGAAGAAAGTTTGTTTAATTTCGTTTTACATTTCTACCAACAAATTTCTATGTGGATGTTGTTTTAAACTTTGGAACAACAGTATTTTGAACAATTCTAATTATATTACAAGACATGTTCCAGAGCATGAAAGGACCTACTACTGTTAGCATATTTAAAACTTTTTACTAGAAATCTGATCATCTACCCGAATTCTTATCGGATAAAAACTTTAAGGCAAATAAAACATGTAAATGTGGCGTAACTTTTCCTTGATAAATTTGGCAAAGTAAAAATTATTAGCCTGATTCCAGCTTATGAATGGCAAAATCTTCATTTGAAGGATATGATTTCGTCGTTTCCCGTCGTCGTACTTTCTGGGCAACTAGTTCTCTAAGAGCTGATTTCACATTTTCCTCTCTTACAAGTTTTACCATATACAAATAAATGATCTATGATCAAAAAGTTGTCTCATCTGTTTTTTATACCCTACACCACAAGGTGGTCAGGGTATTATGTCTTTGTGCATTTGTTTGTAACAGGCAAAAGGAAACGAGATAGACCCATAGTTCCTTTTGATGATCTGCATAGAATCACATTCTGAGTCGATTTATGCATGTCCGTCTGTTCATGTATTTCTGTAAACAAAGGACAGGTCACAGTTATTGCGAACCTATTGAAATTGGAGATAATCGGTCTAAAATTATGTATAGCTCCCACATATATTGTTCATCCCATTTGTTATTTTTGTCCTCCGCAGCCGTAATATGCACTCTGTAACAACAATATTTGGGGAAATATAAAAAATACAACTCAGAAATACCCTTGATGAATTTTATCGAGATCGGTTTATATTTGGATATAGCTCCCATATATATCTTCGTCCGATTTGCCTTTTATTGTGCACCAAACGTGTAATTTGGCACTTACGACCAAATTAAGTCTAGAAACCAGTATGTCAAATTTGGTGGAAATCCGTTCAGATATAGCTCCCATACATATTATTCATCCGATTTGTTGAATTTGCCCTGCATGACCGTATTATGGACTCCGTAGTAACAATATTCGGAGGAAAATATCAAATACAGCTCAGAGATACCTGAATTGTGCATCAAATGGATAATACAAGCCCGAATTGATGAATTGAATGTCTCGGCAAATTTAGTAGAAATTGGTTCAGAGGAGGATATTCCTCCCATATATTAGTTCCTTTGGACTTTTAATTAGTACTATAATCACAGTTGGTATGATTTAATTCTCACAAATTCCCCATTAAAACTTTTATTTGTTACGTGAAGCTCTACTAAATATGCAAAGTGGTGTAGGGTATCATAAAGTCGGCTCCGCCCGACTTTAGGACTTTCTTTAGTGGTTTTCGTTCATTCTGTGAGAAAAATACATAATATTGAATATTTTCATGATTTATTATTATTTATTAATTGAAAGTGACTTCGCTTACATTAACATTACCGAACTATGTCGTGGAATATAAAAATATAAAACTTAAGTAGAAGAATAATAGATAAATTGTTTTCGAAGTCGAGTGAATTTACTGTCCCAATGATCAACCATGTAGTGCGAAACATAAAAACTCTTTAGCCTATACCTTTATTTGACATTAAGAAATCGGGTGGTACCGTTATAGGGGGTTATACCAAAACCCGGATGTCGACAAACGATAGGTAAACGAATTGAAAACTTTTACGGTCATGTAGTTCTGGAACAGACCACAAAGATTATCAGAAACATTTTTATCTATGGGTTTAATCGCTTAATAGTTAGGGTACCACAGACCGACGGACACGTACAAATAGTCTTATAATTATAGTCTGATCAGGAATTTATACACGTTGTATGGTCTTAAATGAGTATTGCCTCCAATTCAAATTGTATTGCCTTTCATATATGCAAATGAATTTAGGAAAGAAATGATGTTTTTAAATTCTGAAATCGATAATAACTTAAAACACGTTTCGCCAGAATCATATTTGGTTAATGTATGCAAAGTTTCGAACATTAAATTCAAATGGTGAAATCACGCAAGAATTTAATATGTAAATTATTTAATTCAGGTAGATATGCAAATAAACATTTGATATCTGGAAATTTTTAGAATTGCCAAGCTATTGCCGAAAATAGGATACGCAGCAACGTAAATTATTTTCTGAAGTTGTCTTAAAATGTGTGTATGTGTCGTCTAACAACGCTTTTGCATACAGCGTTTTTATCCGGGTAAACTGTTGTAATTGGCCAACTAATCAAGTCAAATTGATTGTGATTGTTATCCTCTTAATTCTATCCTGATGATAGAGGTACTTCTATATATACAAATCTTTATCCGGGTTAACCCTGATAAATGTCAATCACCACACATTTTGCTATGGAAAACATACGGTACAATTTATTGGAGGTTGGTCAATAATCTCGGGTAACCCGGCTAAAGCATTTGCATGTAATCGTGCTGTAACAATTCGTATCAGGATTTATATAAATGTATGGAATTTAAAGCTCTTTGTCGTGTTTGTAATTGTGAGACGCACATTTAGATCTTTATGCCGCTTAAAATGTGTGTGTGTGGTATGTGGTATCTCAGGTGCATTTTTCGACACAGAATACAGCTTTTGCTCGATCAAGCGTCTGATTTGCATGGTCGATATTTTCGACTTGGAAAATTAATTCAATTAATTTTCAAGAATTCTTGTATTCAACCATGGTTTCGGTATGACAAAATCATTTGTCACGTGGTGAAAAGTAAAGAAACGCATTGTAAATAAACATTTTAAAACCATTTGATTGTTGCCTCATTTTACATTATACACACATAATATTAGAAAAACATCACTCGTTTACATGGGTCCCATCAGAGTATGTAAATGCTGTTATTTTGAGAGCACTAACAAATAGTTAGCATTAACTTCAATTTGCGCGAATAATAAAATTGACAATAAACATTGTTAGTTGTCTGTTTCAATTGCCTTATTATTCCCATAGTCGAGGAACATTTCCTGCAGTTTAGCGCTGAACTTAAAGTTATCCATAAAAAGAATGGAGTTGCAAATAGATTGCTGATTCTGCACAAATTTAAGTATTGGCCTTCCCGCACGCCAATTACGAGTATAGAACGCTGTAGTTTATACCACCATTACGGATTCATCACTATTCATCAGAACTACATTGTAATTGTTCACTATTTCTAGAAGTTGGCATATTTCGATATGTTGCAAGTCATATTTAGTTTAAATACCACTCGTTGAATGACTTATTTGAACACGTTGTTGTAATTTACTTTGAATCTCCTTCAGTCAAGTATCCATATCCATTTGAAAAACTCTAATTAATCTAATATTGTTTTCTTGTTTAGCTTGGAACAACCATATTTTACTACATTTGGGGAAGTTTTAGGGACATTTTGCTTTACATTGAAACACAATTTTCGTTAAACGTTGCCAATGTTGTTTTCACAATAATTTAATTGTTCTTTTGTACTTTTCAGACTTTGTTCATATTTTTTATTTTCTTTTTTAGTTTGTATTTGTAATGCACATTTATGTATCGTAGACTATGCACTTATTATTTTATTTTAATTTTCAAAATTTCAAACACTTTGATATTCATATCTGAATGGGCGAACTGATGTTGTAATCGGTTACATTGTCATTTGTATTTATTTAAAAATCAGAAAACTTACTAATCGTGTCATTTTTTTAGATTTTGTTAACGTTCCGGCTTATTTGAATGGCACGTATTAATCGATCGATATCTTAGTCGCAAATACGAACAAAGACGCTTCTCGTTTCCTTATATATTGCCATTTGCATATGAAATGTTTCCAATGCCAAAATCGTATTGAAACGAGATTTGTTTGAAATCATCTGCAAAGACATTATCATCTTTCATCGTTATGAACCATTTTCATCATTTGTACTTCGGCTAATTTTGACTTTTGTGCTCTAACAAATGGCCGAACTAGCAAATCTCTTCGGCATGAAACATAGATAGCTACGACGACCAAATCACAAGCTTAACATCAACATCTACTTTTAACTGTATTAGAACAGCAGACAAAGACAATAGCAAGAATATAATATTCTAATACAATACGAGGCGAATCTAATAATTGGAGATGTTATATTTATTATTCTTAGGTCATTTAATCTATAGGTTTTAAATGTTTTAGAATATATTTAAAAACCACTTTTTTGTTTGTAAAATATATGTTAACTCAAACAATAAATTCCAAAATAATTCTAGATGTATCCCCATCGATTTTGTATTTCCCATTCCTTCTTCATTTTTGATTGGTCTATTATGAACTCATATTTATGAATCTCACCCCGAACACGTTTCTTTTTAAGGTTTTTAAAAAAATAGAAGCCCAAAATAAAAAGAAAATAATGTTGCGATATAATGAACAATGTAAAATATATTTGCCTAATAAGTTGTTAACATTCCTAATTGTATGGCATACACAGCATAAAACAGCACGTAAAATAAAAAGAAACATGTAACGAAGCACCTAAGTTCGGCCGAGCCGAACCTCCGCCGAACCTCCGCCATTTGGAAGGAACACGAAACATTTTAAAAATATTTTGTCGTAAAATACTGGCTAAAGGAATACTGTTTTATGGGGGATATATGACGACGAGAACCTGCATAAGACGAGGACCTGCATAAGTAATTTTTATCATTGACTGTAGTACCGATTCCGAACTTCAGATAAGAAACTTCAAATAATTCCGGTAATTAATGTCGCTTATATCATCAAAATACAGAATAAAGGTAGGTACCATCATATGTGGGGTATACATTGGCGTGGACTGGCATAGACTATTTTCTGTCATAGGTTTTAGTATCTATTACAAACTTCAAATACGAAATTTGACACAATTCCGGTGAATAATGTCGCTTCATAGAATGGTGGAGGGTATAAAAAGAATAGTTAAACGGGCGGAACGGGCCGGGTGCAAAAGTATGCAGGGTGAGATGAAAAAACTGCAACCAACTTCAGACTGCTGTCATTCCTAAGCCACTCGTCCTGTGTCAGCTCATTATATTGTTTACAAGCGTACAAAAGCATTTTGGTGAGAATTTTCCAGAAAAAAAGTTATTCGTGATGGAATTCAAGCGTGATAGTGTGATTTCTTTATATTTGGCTGGAAAACCACAAGTGGGTATCGTTAGAGCACTCCAGCATTTATATGTAAATAAATCTTTTGTGTCTGGTACCATCGCTCTTTACCGTGATACTGGTAGTGTAGCCCGACGTCAAGGAAGTGGACGAAAAAAACAGCAACATCAACAGAAATGGTTTGAAAAGTAAAGAAGCGTCTTGATCGAAACCCACGTCGCAGTTGCCGAAAAATGGCTCGTGAGCTTAACATAACGCAATATTCCATTCGGCAAATATTGGAAAATGAGCTCGGAGTGAAGTCATTGACAATCTAAAAAGTGCAAGAACTTACACCGCAAGAGAAAGAAAATAGACTCAAAAGAGCTAAAGAGTTGCTTCTCTTGGCCGAAAGTGGTGAACTATCGAATTTGGTTTTCTCCGACGAGACAGAATTCGCTGTCCAGCAGTTTGTAAACAAACAAAATGATCGTGTTTACTTGCCAAAGAGGTCAGCTGAAAATGTGCGCCTTCGGCTTGCCACCAGATCTCAAGCTCAGGCCATGGTGATGGTGTGGGCCGCCATAACAGCCGATGGTCGCTGTCCGCTATTGGAAAGCAAGGTTGGAACTAAAAAACATTCGGGTAGCGTGTGACGGTTTCATTGGCCTTTTAAAGGCTACAATTCATGCCAAAGGTGACCAATTCGATCAAATCTAAACTTATTCTAAAATTTGATGCTATTTCAGGCATTTTTTTGCTTTCATTCAATTATATTTAAAAAATGTAAAAATTATGTCGTTTGACTTTGTTGCAGTTTTTTTTCTCTCCCTGTATATGGGCTGAAAAAGCACATTCTCAGGCATCTTTGTGCGAACACAAAACCTTGTTCCATAAAAAGTTCTAGTCCACTACAGTTGGAATTTCTCAAAATTTTCGTACCTGAGGAAAGCTTAAATAGCTAATAGCTTTTGTTAACGCTACAGTAATAATGAAAGCAATATCTATTATAGTTGCTGTAGAAATTTGCAAATGCTACGATTTTTTCCAATATTTTGAGCTATTTTTTTTGGTTTCCTTACTTTCAAAGTTTTATATGAAAGCTATACCCAACTTAGGACCAATCATTGAAATGAATTTTATAAATGAATCATTTTTCAGACATTCAAAGTTAATAATCTGATTTGAAATTACAAAAGAATATGGGGGACAGGAAGCAAGAGGAAATTTCCATTCATTTCCATTTAACATGCAGTGAAATCACCATCCCAAATTGTGAGACTTTCAATTCTCTTCGATTAGGATCAGCACAAGTAACATAAAGCCCTGTGTAGGAGGATACATACAGATTCTGCAAAACTCCAATAAATCAAACAAATCTCGTTTGATCTGCGCAAACTCAACAGAATTATTTTACTGCCATCGCATAAAAGCACCATCGCCCTTAGGAAGGAACACATCTACAGCCAGCCCTGTTGCTGTTGAAGCGTTAATTTTTCATCTTCTCGTTTGTTTCCTTCTAATTAATGATGGGATTGGATTTTGCTGGTTGAATCTGACGACCATCCGTGAGTGATTAGATCGATTCGTAATTGCGTGATTGTGTGCGTGATGCTAGTCCATCGTTTATACATTGTGATTGCGATGATCGCTGCCAGATATGTGAGTCTGCGAGAAAACAATGGAGCGGCGGTATTCTCGTGGTCATTATAATGCGACGTTGATGGCGTTGGATTATTATAAATTGCCGCTCAGTCAGAGCACCTTTTATCATGGACACCTCTACACATGTACATAAATTTGCCTTTTTATTCACAGAAATCAGAAACTGAAAACAAAAAACAAATCGTGTTTTGGATGGGACATTAGTAAGAATTTTGATTATATTTAGAAGTAGAAACAAAATGAAAAATCAAAAAGATAAGACAGCAACAAAGTGGCACAAAGAAATCTGGTTTCTCTGGAGGGAACAAGTCAAGAGACAATGATGAGACCACCACTAACTAACCCATCAACCGAACGAACAGCAGCCCGATTAGCATACACGTTTAATGATTTTAATTTCGAATCAATTAAATGCGGGTTTAAGAATCGATTTTCAGATTTCTTAATAAAAACAGCAGTGATCTGAGCGATAAAAATGTTTTGCCACACACACACACACACACATGTTCTGATAGATATATGTACTTACATATATACGTTTTTAAAAAATAGGCAAAATAAATTGATGTGAATACGATACGTATGTTTTTTTATTTAATTATTTTTTTTGTATAAGTCGTTTTGAAACCAGGACGAAAAATAGATTCTCAGAACGTGTAAAGTAATGAAAAAGATTAAGAAATATTAAAATATGCAGGAACGTTTCTCTTCGCCTGGTAACTAAAAATTGTTTAATTTGAAAAATAATAAATTTATTTAATTTATACAATTCAACCAGACAAAAATATGTGAATATAATTTTTTAATTACGCGAACGGCCAAATTGTGTGCATATATTGAATAGAGATAAGCCATGTTTACATTATATCACTCTACAATGATAAACTGCTTATGATAATTAAATTGCCAATTCGTGTTCAATATTCAAAAAAAAAAAAAAAAAATCCGACGAAGCTATTACAAGTTAAATTGCTGTTTCAATCCGGTACCAAGGCATTTTACCAATATTTCATTATGGCATTCATGATCTGCATTACAATAATTAGTTACTTTTTTTATATTTCTCTTATTTTTATTGATATGAATTATAAACTGAATTATAAACTATTATATTCCTACTCTTTTAAAGTTTCCTTTTATAAATTGTGTATATATATATATATCGGCCGATTTTACATATTTGATGCAACAAACACGGTATGTACCTCCAATTTCAATGAAATATGGAAGGTGTCACGGAATTTGGTGTGAAAGTAAATTTTTTCAAATTATATTAAAATCGGTTCAGATTGAGATATGATTTTATTAAGAAACATTGACCCACAAAGCCTTCGCAATGGTATTAGGCTAACAGTAAAAAATTACAAATAAAACTATTGAGGACACGACTATTACGGGGAAGTATGTTGCTACCTCGAATTCTCAAATTGCAACAGAAATGCAGCTCAACTTCAAAAGATTACAGTTTTCTGCACACTTGGCATTTGCTATGAAATTAATGAGTCCGAAAGACAAACCCTTCGTGTATGCGGACTAAATTTGGCATGTCCCTGCTTATCTCATGGTCAGCCGTTCCTGGCATGTTCACGACTTGGTACACCGAGCTATTTGTTTGTTTGTGCATTAAAGAATCACAATAATTACGTTTTTAACAATTTTTAAATTAGTTTTATTTTTTTAACAAATAAATATTAGTATATACAATTTTGAATGCACATTAAATCAAAAAAAAGGGGGGGGGGGGGGGGGGTGGCGAAGCACACCAGGTTCAGCTAGTAAGTAATAAAGCAGTAAGTTTTGCCTGGTCCAACTTTGAATACATCGAAAAAAATTCGGTGAATAATATAGCTAAAATCATCAAAATACCGAATATGGGGGATACCGTTACATGGGGCCTATACGAAGAACTCTAAATACGAAATTTGAATTAGTTCCGGTATATAATGTCCTTGAAATAATCAAAATACCGAATATCGGGGGTACCGTTGACTGGGGGCTATACGATATCGTGGACCAATATAGGCAATTCTCTTCCGGGAACTCCTTGTGCGGATTATTAGACAATTCAATTGAAC